CTTCATGCTATTCTTTTTAATCTTCTTTACATCTTCATTTGGTTTCTTACATCTTTCTTGCTCATTTTTCATTTCTCTTTTTCTGATTTCTGCTTTTATTTCCTCTGTTTCTTTCTTTTCCTATTTGTTCTTTTCTTTTTATCAAATTCTAAAAACTTCTTTTCTTTTGAATCTTCTTTTTTTTTTCCTTCTTTGCCATTTTTTCTTTTCCCCTTTTTTCTTCTTTCCTGTTTTCTTCTTTTTCTTCTCCTCTTACTAGATTCCAGTATGTTTTTTTTAAACATTTTTTCTGTCTTATTTTCTTTGCTCTTTTTTCAGTAATGTTTGATAACTTTTTTCCTTTCCTTTTTTTCTTCTTACCAGATTCCAGTAACTTTTTTAACCTATTTTTTTTTATTCCCTGTTTTTTTCTTCTTTTTACCACATTCCTGTCACATATGATTCTGTCTCTTCCTTTTTTTTTCTTTCACTTCATCTGCTTTTATTTCTTTCCCATTCTTCTATCTTTCTGCATTTGTTCATTTCTTTTATTTTTCTTCTTACTGCTCATGTCTTATAAACTCCTGTTTTGTGCTCTTTAGACTGCTTCATCTTTAAACAATTCAAAATAAAATGAATAATGCAAAAGGAAAAACAAAAATACATAAAAGTGAGATATACATACATATATATATATATATATATATATATATATAAAAGAACAGAATAAAAAAAATTATACATATTGAAATAAAAAGACAATCTAGCATGACGGAAAGAAAAAAAGATATAAAAGATGAAGTAAATTTGTGAAAGATATGTGTGTAGTCTCACAAAGAACTCAGTTGAGAAGTTGTTATTTGCTTGATCAGAGTGATGCTACCAATTTTTTTCAGATCAATATGTCAAAAGCTCTTGGAATGAAGGTAAACTCATGCGAATCAACAAACATGGAAGTAAAAAGACATTAACCCTGAGTAAAGCCAGATAAATATCAAGGTGCTCTCATATAGATAGGCATATTTTCAAGATCCATGGTTTTAAAGCATGCCCACAAACATATATACATGCATATTCACACCTGTCTATATTTTTGACATGAGGTTTTATGTACACTATTTACATTATTCGGACAATTGTCCTCATCTTTTTGTCATATTTATCACAATGTTTCAGCCGTTGTATGCTCCAACCTTCTTTCGGTGGTTGGAATGTCGAACTGAACCTTTTATTTTGCTTGCTGGAATAAACTGTTCTAGTTCTGCATGCCATGTCTAATGGATGTCACTTATCAGTTATCTCCTGTTAATTCACCTCTCCAAGTTCTCCACTGCCTTAACCAGATATTGAACTCGCAACTCTTTGGGTCCTGTCACTGGATCTAACCAATGCTTTTATCCACTGTGCCATGTGTCCTTAAGAACAGTCTACCCCAGCAAGTGAAATAAAGGGTTCAGTTCAACATTCCAACCATCTGAAGAAGGCTGGAGCATACAATGGCTGAAACCTTGTGATAAATATGGCAACAAAGATTTGGACTATTGTCCGAATAATGTAAATAGTGTAAATATTCACAAGCACTCAGATGCATTCAGTATTAACATACTTTATCTCACAAATATATATAGAGAAATACTGACATGCTAAGATGATGATACATATCTCATATAAGTAAATATATACACCTACAATGTTTCAGTATACAGTATGTATGGTTGCCCTTACATCTCCATGGCCATAGCTCCATACAGGCCCATTGAAACTAATATGAGAACTTACCATTTTGATATACAGCATACTTGTTAAAAATACAAACATAATAAACCGTTCTAACTGTAAAAAATATCTAAAAATAATAGAAACCCTTATCATGGAAGACAAAAAAAAACAATCCTTAACTATATCAACTACAAAAATTGGTCATAATGTTCTGGCTATATTCAGGAATTAAAAATATGTCTCAACCACTTACAAACTATTTACAATAGCACAACCGAAATCCTTGAAAATGGGTAATAAATTAACTGAAAGTGCTTATAATGAGCAATCATTTGGACAATTTTAATTTACACTTTCTAAAAGATACACAACTCTCTCTCTTATATATATATATATATATATATATATATATACACACACACACAATAGGAAAATTAATAACAAAGTGGAAAAAGACACATTAGTAATTTATTGGACTTTGGAAGTTGTGTTTACATTGATGGATCTGCACACGAATGGGAGGGTATGTTGAAATTTTAAACTTAAAATTTTTTTTTATGTGTTTGGGTATATAGTTTAACCAATTTGATTTAGTTCGTTTTGTTTATATTTCCTAAAATTGTTCTGGTATGTAAAAATTTTATATAATTTTCTCATATATATATATATATATATATATATATATTATATATATATATATATATATATATATCACTGGCAACTCCTATGATCAGGCTTATCCTATAGTAATAATATTCAAGTATATTTATTTCAACATTCAAGTATATTTATTTCAAAGCAACAAAAATCTTTTTTAGACCATCATTTTCATTTTTGACTTCAGCTGGATCCAAAATTAACAATACATTTCATTGATATTGTTCATAAGAAAGAAATAATAAAGAAAGAAAATAATAAATTAAATAAAATTAACATGGCTAGTCAGTCTGCATAGATCTGAGCCCTATCAAGCTGGAGACATACTTAATAGGCAATATATTTCTTGCTTTAATTTTATAATCTTTTAAAAATCTCTTAAAGGCAAATTAAATTTAGCCTGATTTAAAGTTGGTGAAAATCAAAGAAAGTAGCAGCCTTAACTCCTCAACTGAAGGGTTGGGTTTAGGCATGTGACTGGGGTAGTTTTGAGGAAATATGATATCAGTCAATTATTCCTATCTTTAACAATAGTGACTTGATAAGCAGGCTATAAAACAATAAAAAATGGCAAGGGGGCAATAAACATAAACATCAAAGACTTTGTCTTCACTTTTTTTTCATACATGTTTGGAAAAAATGTTTAAAATAAATGTTTATTTTTATAGAATTATTACAATCAGTATTAAAATACCAAAACATTTTTTTTAATTTCATGCACAGAGATTTTAAAAAATTATATATTTTAGTTTGGGTAAAGGGATCATTTTAGCATCTAAGTTATATCAATAGTATATTTTGTTAAAGATTGTAATAAGCCCGACAAACATTATTGATGACCCCATTGAGATACACACACACACACACACACACACTCACTCTCTGTCTCTCTCTATCCATGATATTGAACACTCTAATCCATAAATATAACATACCTAAAATTTTATATTTATTTTATCATCTCTCTCTCATATATATATATATATATATATATATATATATATATATATATATATATATAAGCATAGTGAGTGCTTGTGGTAATAATAGAACTAAAATGTGTGCCTTATGATTGCTACATAGATGAATGAGTAGCATAAACAAGTTAAAGAACAAATATATATTTAATCTTAGTATATGTGTGTGTGTATATATATATATATATAATAAAAATAGATTATTTGACACTCTTACTGATATCAAAACTAATATTCACCCCACCACCACTACCACACAAAGAAGAAAAACCGTCAACAATAAAACATTTAAAATCTTGCAATGTAACATGACTTTTCTCTGACAAAAATTCAAGCAATCTTCAGAATGGGCAAAAAAATAAATCCATTTATCCAAATTTTGACTGATATTATCACATGAAATCTTGATGTATTTTTTTTTTTCTTACAAGAGTGATTATAGCTCTTAGGTGAATAGTAAAATATACATTAATACATTATGGATTTTTTTTATAAACTTACTTTTTGTACATAATATGACTCGGTTCTAAGAAAAAAAAAAACTGTAGATACTTTGAAGTTACAACTTAAAATAAATCTGATGAAAATAATGTTCTGATATAATCCTTTGGGTAATTTTAAACTAAAGTTTTAACAGAGCCTAGAAAGGGTGGCATTGAAATCCAAAGGTACATTGTGATAGCGAAAGATGCATTCCAAATGCTAAGCTGAGTATTAAGAAACAGAAAAACATAGAAAAGAGTACTCAACTGTTATGTGATATCTGTCCTTCTTATATGGCAGGGAATACTAGATCATCTCCTCAAAGATGAAGTGAGTCAGAGTCTGATAAATCTATTTACATTATTCTGACTATTGTCCTCATCCTTGTTGCCATATTTATCACAATGTTTTGGCTGTTGTATGCTCTAGCCTTCTTCAGGTGGTTGGAATGTCGAACTAAACCCTTTATTTCGCTTGCATTCTAGTTCCACATGCCATGTCTAATGGATGTCAGTTATCTCCCGTTAATTACCCTCTCCAAGTTCTGTACTGCCTTAACCAGGTATTGAACTCACACTCTTTGGGTCCTGTCACTGTATCTAACTATTGCCTTTATGCTTTGAATTATTAGTAGATATCATATTTATACTTTACATATGAGATGGCAATCACAGACTCCAAGTAAATTTCAAATTTGAAATTTATGCTATGCTGAAGTTAAATTAAGAGCCTGACAATATTAAAATATTCAGAAGCATTATAAAGCCTTTTAAACTTCGAAGGTGTTCAAAAGATAAGTCATTTGAACATTTATTAATTTATTGACTATTGTCACTTGAGTTTATTGAGTACATTCTTGATAAAAATTCTTCTCACCTTTAAATTCTAGTAATTTGCATGTGCTTCGATAGGTGTTATTGATTTGTATTATCTTGGTGTCACACATTGATATAGTCAATAGAAATTCTGTTCTTGAGGCAAGGTGCCAATAAGGCTGTTCATAACTCAAGAACTTTTTGAAGAATCCTTTTAGTATAACAGTTTTATGTAGGTTTTATGTAGGTCTACAATCTTGGTTTAAATTCCAATTGTCCATAAGCACTTTTTCAATTTTCTTAATGTTCCAAGTCAACCCGTTATTAAAGGAATTACTTTTACATGTCTTTGTTTCCAGATTTCATCATGTTGAAACACAGGTTCCCATATTATCACTGAAGCTAAGCAACACTGAGTCTGATCAGTACCAAGAAGGGTGACCACTTGGGAATACTAGATGCTGTAAACTTAGATGTGCAGGTTGTGTAATGAATAATTGGCTAGCCAAGTTCCAATTTCGTTATATTCATTTATGCATAAATATCCTTCAGAAAGGTATGAATTCAAATTTTATCTCCCCAACTATGGGTTAATTAGTAAGGTTTGTATCACGAAAAACCATTATCTCCAAAATCAAAATTGTGTACAGAATATTTACATTTCAGCATTAAATAACTCATAGGCGTTGATATGCCATTAAACAAAAGCAAGCAACCAACTTTTTCTATATCCTGGTTGGTTCATTTCTATAATAACATTCTATTACAGTTCTACTTACTTCTTAAGACCACTTTCTTCGATTTGATGAGTGCAATGTCCACTCAAATGCTCCACATCACCCTATCTGCCTCAGCTTGAAGCGAAAAAAAAGGAACATTACTTTTACTTCACACTGTTATTATATTTGTAATCTTTATAGAGTAGATTCACTTATTTTTCAGTTCACAATCCTCCACAGTCTTTAGAATAAGAGTAGTGGTTTATCCCTTGTTTCCTGTTTAGGATTGGGTTTCCAGTTTATTCTAAAGTCTATTTCCACACTATTACTTCTAATGTCTCTGGATGAACCCTGAAATGTTATTCACTAATTAAATCTTGACCTCTTCAAGTGTAGAATTAGCTGTTATCTTTCCTGCATAGCCTTCTTCACTTCTTGCCCTTTCTTATACTCATGCAACACTGCACAATAACCCTCTGCCTTGAGTGGCTCTTGGGCCTGGTATTGGGTGAACATTAGTAAAAAAAAAAAAAAAAAATCTTATTCAGCCAGCAATGTTTAAATTGAATCCTAACCACAAACATAAACATTGAAGTAAAGGTCTGTGAACAAAATTAAAAAGAACACTTAATATGCACTAATAATCATAAATGTTAAAACCAATTAGGATCATAGGGACACCACGTGTATTGCAGCCATATCAATAAGTAATTTTCTATATATTAAAGGTGGACAGGAACGTGTCTTTACATGTTGTTTGATAGAGCTTGTATCTGACAGTTAATTTTAAAATGACAACTATCAGTTACATTAACGTTTTTGTCTAAGCAATTCACCCTTGAAAGTCTGTGATTGAAAGTACTTGTTAAAATAAGAATGAAAATAAAAGAAAAAAAATTACAGCACCTTCCTTAATGAATTTAATATTAACACTAAGAAATCTGTAAGAGTATTTGAGAGAATAAATATATATATATATATATATATATATATAGTGCTATCCTCACAGGACTACAAGAAATACCTTGTGAAAAAGACCTAATAGCGGTGAACCTTTTTAGATCCCCAAACAAAATTTGGTAGAAACAATTTAAATATAAATTAATGAGTAATTTACATATATGGATTAAGAGTGTCATAATACCAATAATTTATGGTTCAAACAAAATGGTCAAAATAGAAAATCAGAAAAGCCAGTTGGTGTAATTTGTATTTGGTTGATAAGGCAAGGTTTGACTTTAATGTTATTTTTAGATGTTTGAGTTTAAATAAATGGTCTTTGTATACAGTAAGTCTCTGGGTTATGACAGTCCTGACTAAGGACGATTCATGGTTTGCAATCTCCATTAATCTTGTTTCAACTAATGTTGTTTGCCTCATACATAAGGCACAAAGAACACAGTGGAAGAATGCATTGCACAGCAGAAGAATATGTTGTCATACAGCACTAGGTGGCATTAGTTGGATCAATTCCTGGTTGTACGCCATATTAGATTGTTTTGTATTTCTCCTCTTTCATTTATGTTGTGTTTGTAGAAACTTATTGCTCTTCATTATGGCTCCTAAGTGTAATGTAACCTCTTTCCCATCTACAGAGAACCAATGACATCACTGGTAATAAATATACAATAGGCTTAAAACAATTTCCTTTTATTATATGTATTTTCATTTCCTTTCATTATATGTATTATATTTATGTCCTCTATATGTTTTTTTAGTCCTAATTATGTTAACATGTCATAGAAATGTGATCTTATGTCCTAGATTATTACTTTATTATTGCATTAGTATAGTTAACTGGAGTATGGTGAAGTAATGGATAGCAGCTCGGATTGAGGAATCTGAGAGCCTAGTTTGAATTCCAGTCAAATCCATTATGTTAACTTATATGCTAATACCCTTGGGAAAAGTATGAATCCTATTCTTCTCTTCCCCAAAATAGCAGGACATAGCAGGTTCTATAGCTTTGGATGGCAACTGGTCTACTGCAGAAAGTAATAGCAACCTATGGCAGGAAAAAAAATCTGCTTTGTCAGTCATGTATCAAAAGATACAGGATCGGCTAAGCATGTATCACACATGGCACATAACTGACTGATAGTTGACTGACATATTCATGGAAAGTCATGGATACATTCTGACTCACATGAAAATCACATTGCAACGCAATATAGGAACAGAACTCTTAAGACAAGGACCTCTGTATATGCAAGAAAAAAAGAGTATTTACATGCACAAAAAAAAAGAGAAAGGGAGTCCAGTTAACTTCCAGCTATGTCCTTGGGCATAAGCTTGTTGGTGGATGTGGGTAGATGATTGCAGATAGTTTCCGTTAAAGTTACTGTTAGCCCAAGTGGAATTCTCTTGTGTCTACTAAATTTGAGTTGCCAACTTTGTTTATATTTCCTTTAAGAGGATTGAGCTTAGGACTTTTGTGTGGCCAAATGATTTAATTGGTCCATTACTCTTCCTCTTTATCACATGGTATGTTTCTCATCTACTCTGTGCTGAAATGGATTCAGTGAATTTGAAATTTAAAAAATCAAGCTCTCTAGCCAAGTGTTGATTTTTGTATGGGTATGTGTGTTGCAGGTGGTGTTATTGGCCTGCAAACAGGTATTGAATAAGGGAATACAACAACAAGCCAAACAAAGACTTTAGTAAAAAAAAATATTGCCAAGTTTATTTTCATAAAAGAAAATACATCAACAAGAATAAAGTTATAGTGCACTAGGCAAAATATATCTCTGCATGTTCATGTAGAGGGTGAGAAGTGCATCGTCTTGAGAAGGACAGTTTTGTAGCCGTTGAGAATTGTTGTCCTGAGAAGGACAGTTTTGTAGCCGTTGAGAATTGTTGTCCTGAGAAGGACAGTTTTGTAGCCGTTGAGAATTGTTGTCCTGAGAAGGACAGTTTTGTAGCCGTTGAGAATTGTTGTCCTGAGAAGGACAGTTTTGTAACCGTTGAGAATTGTTGTCCTGAGAAGGACAGTTTTGTAGCCGTTGAGAATTGTTGTCCTGAGAAGGACAGTTTTGTAGCCGTTGAGAATTGTTGTCCTGAGAAGGACAGTTTTGTAGCCGTTGAGAATTGTTGTCCTGAGAAGGACAGTTTTGTAGCCGTTGAGAATTGTTGCTGGCAGCAAGGGTGGCTGGCTGAAGCTGGAGGCATTGCTGATGTCTGGCTGGCTGGCTGGCTAGTTGCTGTTGCTGATACTAGACTTTGATCCAAGGCATCATGGTCCAGATTGTTGGGTTTTTTTTTTGGGGGGGTTGAGGCCTTTTATAATGGTTGCTGGTTGTGGAAGGTGAAGTTTCTTCTCCTGGTTGTTTTTTCTCAAAAATGTGGGAGTGCTGACTGGATGTGGCATTTCTTAAGAAATTTTATTCATGTATTATAACATAACTTGATCTAAAAATCATTGTCCTTTTGTTTTTATTTTCATCATTAATACTTTAGGAGAAGATTTACAAATCCATTTCCAAAAGTGCCAGATGTTACCGATCAGATTAACTGCTAAATATATGAATTCTGTCCCTTTAACTGTGAAAAGATATTGCCATCATCACTTTAATTCCTAATCAACAAAACATAAAGCTGTATTAGTTATTACATGTAAAATATCTACAACAGTGTAAGCATACAACACAACCTTCACCCAAGCTTTCTACTGATCAGCCAATGATTACTCTGTTGCATTTCAGTCCTCATTCTCATCAGTGTGTACCGAAAGCTGGGAAGTGCTTGGTACATGCCTACAAGGTAACATGATAAAAGACAAATGCCACATCGAGAAATAAGAACATGAACCCTGTTGGTGTTTTATTGTTGCCTGCTCATCTGGGTGGGTAGGTAAGTGATACTTGGGATAACTTCTGCTATGTTTATTCTTCCCACCTACCAACTCCTTGCCCATCTACCCATTCTGATGTAGTTGCTGGCAATACAAATGGCATCTTCAAAACTGTGTGATTAACATGTTTCTCACCCAGGGTAGACTCTCCCTGAACCCAAATATGACTGTTAATATAGACTGTCACCCAAATATGTTATTTCTTGTTTTGTTGATCTCTAAAAACTCCTTTATTTCCTATTCTCATTTCAAAGTAATACACCAAAACTTCAAAGGGAACCATCTGCTGGTTGATCAAACAAGAAGAAACAAAAAACAGCACTTCCCATCCTATGTGGATGTCGCCTATTGCAATAGAACATGCACAATTTTTCAAGTAATTACCTTGTGAAAATATAGTAGTATATGCCATTTTTCTTTTAATAAATTCAACATAACTGAATGCATAACAAACACAACAAAATTTTTTCAGTATAGATATTTTTCAGTATAGTGTATATGTATGTGAGTACATTATGAAATGAAACCTATAGGAATACTTTCCAAATATTTGCATTGGTGATATGGAATTTAATGTGTGTGTGTGTGTGTGTATATATATATATATATATATATATTTTTTTTTTTTTTCAGATTAACATTTGCCTATTAAGTTAACTGACTCATTGTAAGAACTTTGGAAGAGCCAAACAAAGAAATTGTAAGTAATGCTATCTAATTATCTATCCTTTTCAGTCTCTTCATGTCTGTCTATCTGATCTTTTTGTGAAGGATTAAGCAGAATTCCTGCATATATATATATATATATATATATATATGTATATGTATGTTTATTTATCCGTGTATCTGAATATATTCATTATCTACCTACTTATCTAAATGAATTCATTATCTCTCT